CCGTTCTATTAAGTCGCCCTGACAACAAGACCAAGTTGCGACATCGAGGTCAACCCACTTCTATAAATCGAAAGGAGACTGCGACCATAATACAGGCCACACCATCTTCAATTTACTCATATCATTGGGGGAAAATTCTACTATCAGTTCTTCATTACCTTTAACGAAATAGGGTGAATACATCTTATATAACTGATGTAGTGGTAGTCTCGAAACTTTACTTATATATGAGAACTTTCTTTTGTCATTGCGACCTTATGTAACTAAATCTCTTATTCAAGCTTTACTGACGGTATCAAAACCTACTTGTTTTCTACTCTTCTCATCACCCTAAACAACTCTAACTTTCCCGTTTTCTTATCATATCTTTTCAAATATATGAGATGAGTTCATTCTATTGGCGTAAATGTATAGGTCTTAGAGACTACCAGTAAATTATTCATATAAGTGGTGTTCACCCTATTTCGCTTAAGGTGATGAAGAACTGGTAGTTGAATTTTCCCATAATTATATGAATCGAGCTGATATTTTCAATTGAATTTTACATAGCCTTGCTTTTCCGAAATGTGTTTTTATCCAGGGTGGACTGCAGTTTCTACCTCTCCTTTGTCTTATCAACACCCCCTGCGCGAGTCGAACCATGACATTGCAGCATGTAAGCTCACATGTTAGCCACGACGCTACATTGCCACGAATACCCTTGAGTCACAGGGCAGATGTGAATTTCAAGGAATGTCAGGCATTTTCCATATCACATTCTGTGTTGGGATTGCCGATGAAGCAAATTTATATTTGCTATAGAAATCGACTACATTACTTTTTTCGTGAATGAGTAGGTTTGCGGGACTACCAGTAAATCAAATATATGAGTTGTGTTCATCCTATTTCGTTTAAGTTGATGAAGGCTATGTAAAATTCAATGGAAACGTCAGCTCTACTCATATCATTGTTGCAAAAATTAACTACTAGTTTTTCATCACCATAGACCAACTAGGTTGAACACAACTTATATATTTGACTTACTGGTACTCTCAAAAATCTACTTATTTACGAAAAAAGTAATGTCGTTTGTTGCTATGGCAAATCTAAGTTTGCTTGATTGACAATCCCAAAACAGAATGTGATATGAAAAATGCCTGATATTCCTTGAAATTGACTCTATTTTGTCAAAAGGGATACAGGGATTGGTATTTGAATTTTTGCACAATCATATTAGTAGTACTCTATGATTAAAGGGCACTGGTGGCAATGTGGCATAGTGGCTAACGGGGCAAGATTATACGTTAAACTGTCATGGTTCGAGTCCCGCTGGGATTACTGATGAGACCAATTCGAGGTCGAAACTGCATTCAATTTCTGCCTGGATGCCCATACCTTTTGGAAGGCGAGACTATGTGAAATTCGACATATCTCATATATATGATTTACTGTTAGTCTAGAAAACCTACTTAAAAAGGAAAAACTAGTCTGGTCAGTTTGAGTTTTTATTCATGAATCCTTTTCACATTTAGTCGTTTATTCTGAACCCGACTACCCTCGACATAATAGTCAACACAGAGTGGGATTTCCGAAGTGGCTTCAAACAAGCTGGGGGTCTTAAAGCGTCAATTGGGACTTCCTGTTGCTGAATAAGTCTCTCCTTTAGCTAACTCTAGTGTCCTTCTCCAGACTCGGTTTTCTTCTCCTCTCCCTTTCCTCTTTCGCAGACACTGCAGAGCCCGATGCAAATCATGCTTTCCATGTCTACGTCTGTGGGTCCCGTGATGAACTACACCTCCGGGGGTGGGCCACCGGGCGCAATTGTATCCTGTGAAGCGGAATCTTCGGGTTTGGTTCCTCCCTCGACGGTGTCTCGCCTTCTGGGACCACGCAGTGCCAGCGCTGGCAAGGCCTATCTGCCCTCGGTCAGCGGTCAGGCCGGTTTCGCATCGCGTGGTTTCACGCCCGGCCCGGGCGACCAGCCCGATGACACGGGGGGGCTGGGCCTCCGGGTATCACTAACCCCCGGGTCGACCGCCATGGGTCTGTATCAATCGCACCAACTGCCAACACAACCGGGCCTGGCTGCCTGTGGAAGCAGGGCGAGTCAGGCGATGATGATGACTCTTTTGGACCAGCAGGCTGCAGGCGGCGTCAATAGTCTGGATACCTATGGCACAGCTCCAGACTGGTACCCGATGACCGGGGCTGCCAACGGTGTTGCCATGGCCACGGGACACCTGAGTCTGGGCCGACGGACAGGACCGTCCGCCACAGCCTGGCCGCCTCCACGTCCCCTAGACACCGGAATATTACCCTATCTGCCACCGAATGGTTACCCGATCGGCCTCACAGCCCTGCAGCAACAAAAGATGGCGGCTACCACACCAACCAGATATCAGACTGCCGGTTCGGGCTCTTTCGATGACGCATTTGTGTCGACTAGTGCCGATGGGCGTTATCTGACAGGAGAACTTTGCAATTCACTCTATCCAACTGGTACTGGACTAGTCTATTCTAGTGAGCATAGACAAGGGCTGTATAGGCGTTTTCTAGGAATCTTTTAGTATACCATTGCTGACCCTACTTTTATTTTGAGCAAAAATGTGCAATGAATAGACTCATAAGTAGATCTCACCAGAACACGACGCCGAAAGTACCTTGATCTGCAATTGTTTAGTTCTACTGATACGTGCATGTGGAGAGACTTCTCGAGACAGCCTCTTTCGGTTCTGATGGAAGCGTAAAGCCAGTTTATAGATTTCAGCAGGGCATGGACGTGTTTCTAGAGCAATTATGAGCTTACAACAAGTCTCTAAAACTAACCGTCCAGCCTTTTTCCGATGTTTATACTCATAGAACAATTCAATGCATGTGCTATAGTGTGTTTGTATGTGTGCATATGTAGACACACAAAACCAAAGTGACGCAGTAGTGAGGGTTACTTTTTTCCATTTAGATGAGTAAACCTCAAAATGCCAGCGAATTTCGCTTATTAACTACTGATACTCTCGAAGACTACTCATATCGAAGATAAGTAGACATTATTTTTCGTATATAAGCAGGGTTTCAGGACTACCAATAAAATAGTTATATGAAATGTATTCACCCTATTTCGTTTAAGGTGATGAATGACTGGTTGTAGAATTTTCTCACAATGATATGAGTAGAGCTGACGTTTCCACTGAATCTCACATAGCCTTGCTTTACCAAAAGTTGTTTTCATCCAGGGTGAACTGCCGGTTCGACCTCGCCTAGGTCTTATCAACACACCAGGCGATAGTCGAACCATAACAGTGCAATGTGTAAGCTCGACACGTTATCCACTACGTCACATTGCCACGAGTGCCCTTGGGTCACAGAACAAATGTGAATTTCAAGGAATGTCATGCATTTTCCATATCACATTCTGTTTTGGGATTGTCGATGATAAATCAATTATCAGTCCTTCATCATCTTAAACGAAATAGGGTGAATACAACTCATATATTTACCTTGAAATTCACGTCCGTTGTGTCACCCTTTGGTACCCTGGGCAGCGTTGGCAAAAAGAAACGCCTCACCCCCTCTATCCGGTTCCCATTGAGGCTACTACTTAGAGCCAAGCAATGTCGAAAGTATAGTCGACTTTGACTGAGAATATCTTTTGGGCGAAAAATCTAAGTTAAATTGAGTGAAAACGGGAGGCCTACTAGTATCATTATGGGAAAAATTCAACTATCAATCCTTCATTGCAATATACTATATTGGGTGAATACCGCCATTAATGCCGTATTTTTGATAGACTTTGTCATTTTTCCTTCTCTTTAGCCTTGTACACCAGCAAAATCCCTTCTGTTTCGGCTCTATCGACACCCTTATGGTTGCTCGAAACCTGCTGGTATATATATATATATATATAGGCTTTAAAGATCACTTCTTACTGCGACT